TATTTGTGCATGTTGCTCTGACTGATTATAGACCACAATAAAACTGAAGTTGAACGTTGTCATGGTTTCAGAACTTAATAGTAAGATGGGATAGGAATTCCTTGTTTGAACTTTCTTGCGTGATTCTATACAGTTACATTATTTAGTCTAAAAATGTATTATTACATTAATATCCTACCTTTCCTCCAGGAGTTCAATCTCTAATCTAGGTAATATTCTTGCCTCCAGTTAATCTCCATAACCACCCTATAGAGTAAATTGGCTGAAAGATACCAGCTGAAAGATACCAAACTCACTAGTGAGTTTCCATGTAGGGTGGACTTGAACTAAATCTCTCAAATCTTGGTCCATTTTGTGGCCCAGCTTCACGAACAAGGATGAATTCCAGAGCACATGACACATAGCTTGTGGGTTTGCTGCATGCATCTGCATGCAAAAGTTTGAACACCCTGGATCAAGCACATACTAGCTTAGTTGTTACCAATTGCTATTTTAACTCCTGCCTTTCCATAATTTTTTCCAGAACCAATTATTCCTCCTTGTTGCAACATTTAGACATTTTGTAGGATAGCGATTATAATTTTCAGATAACAAAACTAGTAATGACTCTTTTCTTGTTTTCTTTATCTCTTCGTGATTTTATCCTATTACACAGATTGCACGTAATTTAAAGGTTCTTGAGTAATTCTACAAAAAGAAGACAATAAATAATCCAGAGGATATTTAGCTCTGTTTTTCAGTTCCTATTTCATGAATACTGGCTGAGACTTGCTCTAAAGAATCTTGATATTCCACTTACAGGTAATCCTCAGCTTACAACAGTTCAAAGTTACATCACTGAAAAAGTGACTAATGACCATTTTTCACACTTACAACCATTGCAGCATCCTCATGGTCATGTGACCAAAATTTGGATGCTTGGCAAACAGGTTCATATTTATGACCATCACAGTGTTCTGGGGTCATTGAACAACTTTTGTGACCTTCTGACAAAGTCAATAGGTAAGTTTCACTTAACAACCGGGTTATTAACTTAATAACTACAGTGATTCATTTAACAACATTTAACAAGAAAAGTGGTCAAATGGGGCAAAACTCACTTAACAAATGTCTCGCTTAGCAACATAAATTTTGGGCTCAGTTGTGGTTGTAAGTGGAGGACTATCTTTAATTGTAAAAAGGCTTGACCACAACAGTGGGAGACCCCCAGCTTCTGCCCAAAAGAGAAAAGGCACTTGATAAATATGGGAAAAAAAGAGAAATAGAATAGGCAGGATAGGAAACTAGGGGGAACGCCAGAATGCTACATTCCAGGAGTGCTTAAATGACAATAGATTGGCTGGTAAAGAAAAGGCCAACAACAGACTGGCAGACCAGTTTTTTCATTCCTAGTCAGTTATGGACAATTTGAGCTTCACTAAAGTTAATGCTAGTTGCTGTGGTATTCTTTTTTAAAAATATATAAATACACAAAAGAAGTATCTAACTGGACAATGTATAGTTACAAGCTGATCATTTTTACCACTGAAAAAATACATTGTTCTTATCTATAGCAAGAAAGTGCTTACAGTATTTCCAAGAAATACGCTGGATCTGAAAGAGCAAAATCTGTGCAAGTTACTCCTAATCTGTCAGGTGTAAAAAATCAGGACCACACATTAAACTCCAGTTAAGTTGATTTACTGCTCATGCCTATACACAATAATCTGGGCAAATAAAATCAGCACTAAATTGGCACTAGATAAGGGCTAAGAGAATTCAAGGGGGGTGAGGTGGACTTGGATCACTTGTTGGAACATAATGACTCCAACTAATTCCTCTCTTGACTCTGCTCCCAGGCTCTGCCTCCTCTTCTCTTACACTCTTCTCTTTGAACAACGCTTTGAACAATCAGTTCAACCAGCTCTTCAAAGTAGACCAGTCAAGAAAGAGACCCTGGGATTCCAGGAATGCTATGCTATGGCATAGGGCATGTTAATTTTAAAACGCCATCCAAAACCTTCAAGTCCCCTTTTTAAGGTCAACAAGGACAAGATGTGTCTTTTCTTGGTCCTTTTATCATGTTTTCAACAACCCTGGGGTCGAATAATTGTTTTACTAGTCTTACTCCTCTTTTCAGTGCCAGAGTTAAAATCCTCTGTAGTATGGAATTTAAACCATATTAAGTTGTTAAATCCAATTCAAATCCAAAAACATATGCATGTATTGATGCAAATCAGTTGAAATCTATCACATATCCAAATTGTCCACAAGTCTAACTATGAATCAACTCTTGCTTCAGCCCACTTTGAGGAGAGTCATTGGTTTTTCTTGGTGATATTTGGTGAGAGGAGAAATAAAATCAGGGAATCCACCAATTGCTTTCCTTAATATCTGCATTCTATCTGCAAGGACAGTACCATTTGCTGGCCTCATTACTAAGGCAGAATAGGGACTGGTCATCAAGGCAGCTCAAAGATCAGGTGTTTTTTTTTAATGCAGCCCTAAATGAAGTAGCTAAAGGGCAATACTTTGATCACACATAACGGCTAAAGATTTGAGATGTGTTGTTTGTAGAAGAGGGTAAGCATAGTATAGAAACATGTAGGTACATTAGAAGTAATGAGCAAAGCCAAACTTTATGCAATAAACGTAATCCATTTATTCTGGAACTCAAGGCAATAACAAATGGCATAATTTTTGATAGCATCCCTTTGGTACAATCTTCTCGAATAAGTTCTTCCCTACATTTCTGTTGTTCCATCATCCAACAAAGCCCTCTCAAGTAATGTTTGCAAAGGTTTTTCACAATCAGTCGGTGTCTTTGAATAGCCAACTATCAGGTAGACGTAGGGGTTCCCACTGCTGTCAATGGCATCAAGAAAATGAAGAATGAGAAAGAGAATTGGAATATGGATTTTTGGAACCCAACGGGCTATGATTTCAATAATCCTCACTGAAGCAGCAAAGATAAGAAACAGAAGAACTGTGGCCACTATAGTGATATCAAGTCTTCTCAGAGGAGTTTCCTGGGATACACTCAGCATTCTTGTGAAAATAAGATATGTAGAAAAGACCATGATGGGAAGAAAAACAAGGAGGTTGATTATTACTCTGGCCATTTTTGTAGGCTCACAATGATGATTAGCTTCCATAAGTAATGTATCAGTCTCCAAGTAGCAAGAATAATATAATATGATGGCTAGCAGGCCAGACAAGACCCACAAAATGGTACACATGATTTCTGAGAAATGCTTGGGCCGGTGAAGTTGATACCAGGCTGGAGAAAAAACCATGACGTATCTTTCAGCAGTGATAGCTGTTAGCACATAGGTCTTGGCGTTGAATCCAAATGCATGTGCCAGCTCCATTATATTTAACGAATATAGACTGATAGGAACAGCTTTCAAAAATAAAATAAAAACAATAACATAGTAGATGAGTACAACAAAATCAGCCACTACCAAATTTAGGAAATACACAGTAAAGTTAGTTTTCTTGATTGAGCAGCAGAGAAGGCAGAAGATAATTGCATTCCCAAGTAATCCTAAAATGCAGATTGGAATTGAAATTACCATAATTGTTTTTTGTAAAGAGTATCCAGTTTCCAGTTCTGTTGCAGCATAGTTATGTTGTCCAATAGTATGGAAAGACAAAGAGTAAGTTTCTGCCATCTTGCAGCTATCAGTTTGTGATCCTTTTCAATCTGCCAAAAATCAAACACAAAAAGTATTAGTGAGATGCGGCAAAGTATGTAGGTAGGAAAACTTAAATGAATCAACTTTTCAGATAGGAATGCTTGTTCGATTGTCTCTACAAGATTGGGTAGAAAAATCTAACCTAATCATCATTTTATTTTGGCTGAATGTTTTGTACTGGATCTTCATTTAGAAGGCACACAGATAATGCTTACAAAAGATGGTATGACCTTTACAATTTAGCAGTAAGGTATAGCATAGATCAGTGGTTCTCAACCTTTTTAATTCCGTGACCCCCAACTGGTCGTAAGTCGAGGACTAAACTGGTCGTAAGTCGAGGACTAAACCGGTCGTACGTCGAGGACTAAACCGGTCGTAAGTCGAGGACTAAACCGGTCGTAAGTCGAGGACTTTCCCTGCCCGCGAGCACCGCGCATGCGTGGTTCCACCCCCTGCGCCGGCCGAGGCGTAGTTGGCAAGTGGCAGAGACGGAGCAGGCCAACCACCAGCTGGCCCAGCTCAAGGGAGGTAAGGCACCCGCCGGAAAAGGGGGAAAAAATAGCGGACAGCCTTGCTTGGCGACCCCCGTGAAATGGTCGATCGACCCCAAATGGGGTCGCAACCCATAGGTTGAGAACCGCTGGCATAGATGATCCATGATTTTACCAGGAAGTGTCCCTGCAGTTTTATGGCAAGATTTCAGAAGTGATTTGTCCTTGTCTCCTTGGACTGAGAGGGAGACTGGCACAAGGTCATCCAACTTGATTTGTGCCTAAGGCGGGACTAGAACTCATAGTCTTTTACTTTCCAGTCTGTGCCTTAAATGTTACCCTAAACTAGCTCCATGAAAATATATTAATTAATCAATCAAACAAAAAACTATAAAAAAACACAAATCCAAATAAAAAGATTTTTGCATGAGTAGGGAGGGAGAATAGAGTGGGACCTAATCTGATGTCCCTTAGGAACATGTTGCGAAATCTGAAAAGCTACTTAAAAAGTTCCTTGTTGGAATGACACCTAAAGGCCTTAATGCCCAGTGTGGGCATGTATATAGAAAAGTTACTTTTCAAGTAGTTTAACCCAGGAGTGGGCAAACTTTCTGTGATTTGGGGACCACATGGGTTGCTTGGCCAGCAATTCTGAGAGCTGAATCCACACATCTTAAAGTTGCTAAAGTTGAGAGATACTATGCTAGAGGCTGGCACCAGCTTTCTGCATGGTTTTTTTTTCCTATTAAAAGAATCTTTTTAAATTCAAGTGGGGTAGAATTTGATAGCAGCCCAGTTTAGCATTTTGAGATCTGTAGCTGCAGCATTTGATAATAAACTATAATTCATGTTACTTGGGGATTAAATAGGACACATGATTAGCGAAGCGTGAATTGGGAATTATGACATTTTCATCTTAATAAGAACTTATGAGACAAAGAACACATCAATTCAGAAGATTGCAAACAGCAATCATATGACTGTGGGACACTGCGACATAATTGTGAGCTGGTTGCTCGGTGTCCAAAGTGAGATCCCGTGACTCTAGGAATGCTGCAGTGGGCTCAACTATCAGGACCCATTATAAGTTACCCTTGTTTAGCACCACCATAATTTTGAATGGATGCTCAGCAATGGTTTTTCAATTAGGATTGACTGTATCTATAGTTAATATTATAATGAAAGACCCATGCTTTGGGGCAGTGGTGGCGAACCTATGGCATGGGTGCCAGAGACAGCACGCAAAGCCCTCTCTGTGGGCATGCACGCCGTTGCCCCAGTCCTAGGCCTTCAGCTGGGTTTTATAAAACCTTTTCACTTTAGGCCTCCGCCGCAGTGTACAAAAAAAAAAAGGTTCAATCAATCAGTGAATTTCAACTTCTCCCAGGAAAAAAAAAGATCTTGCAAAGTTGGAATTGGTTGATTGAACTTTTTAGTCCCACCCAGTCTGCTGTTACCACCGCAGCCACGCCCACCCAATGGGCCACACCCACACGGCCCCCGACGATGCATAAGTGGGTTTTGGGTTGCAGTTTGGGCACTCGGTCTCTAAAAGGTTTGCCATCACTGCTTTGGGGCATCTGTGAGGGCAGAGAGTAAGAGTTGAGATGGTGCCTATGACCATAAAATCAAAACTCCATGTGGCAAATTACATTAATATGGGAATGAGGCTTTAGTCTCACAGTTGTGGCCCTTATCTTAATTTTTATGACATCCTCTCTTCCCCACAGATGCACTACAAGGACAGGAACTACACAAGATGCAATCAGTCATGGTCAGGATGCTATTGAGGACAAACTGGTTTTTTTTTATTACATATCAGTCATCTCAGAATAGAAAGAATTCTCACTCAGAATTAAGACAAGAGGAGTAGAGATTCATACTTCTAGTAACATGAAAAATAAAAAAATAGTGTTTCTTTAAGGGTAATAATGCATAATTTGAGGGCACCGTTTGTTACTGGCATATTCATTGCAATTATGAGTTAGCAGCCTATGTGAATAGGGAAACAGGATTTGTTAGTTCCTTAAAGTTCTAATCTAATCTACTAGAAAGGAGGGAAAACAAACAAACAAAAATGGTCAAATATATGGTCATAAGTATTTTGTTTCTCTGGAATACTGCCTCTTAGTTGTGTGGGGCTTGTTCAACAATCTGGGACACAGTAATTAGGAAATGGTCTGTTCACAGTCCTGCAGACCCCCTCCATATTAAGAAGTCAACTCTATTCCAGAAGACATTATATTTGATTGCTACCAGTTCTATTTTTTTTTCTGGGTAGATGACTAAATCCATCTACTGTATATCTAACTGGTGATTTAGGAACTTGTAACTTAATCAAGGAAGAGTCTCTAAATTATGTATCACCCAATACATTCAAAATGTATCAACTTTCTATAGATGAAAATAAGATTTTCATCCCTTTCATCTGTTATTTCATTTCCCTTTCAATAATCATGTGCTCAATTACGATAGCTGGCAATTTAGCCATGATGGAATGTTATTATAATAAAGCCATGATGATGTGACCAATGACAATAACAACATCATTATCAAGTTGGTAAGAACAGCAGCTAACTACAAAACTAAATTTTACCGTTACTACACTCCAGTTCCCTTTCAGTCTTGTCTGATTATGCTTCTGCCTTCATATGAAGCTTTACTGCTTGCTGCAAAAGTATGGCCAACTACATGATAATGGGGGTCCTGTGTAATAAACAGAAGATGATATTTTCATGACCTCATAGAAACTGTTAGCTGCTATGTTGCAAAGTTCACAGTCATTGTCCTTCATATCAATTGAGATCTAACTTCATGATTTTGGCTGAAGTCTCATTTGATCAGTATGATAGATGAACTATTCTTAGAGTCAAAAAGAGCATTAGTTTTTTTTGCGGATAGTCCTCATTTTCTCAGCAACTTTCGATGTTATCAGCTGTGAGTTTCTGCTGGGATGGCTTGGATGGCATGAAAACAAGATCATGAAATAGCAGTGATTCTGTTCCTTCCAGGTGGGAAGATTCTATAAGAATCTACTCTCTTTGAATTCTTCACTTTAAATAGGTTGCTTCTTTTATGAATTTTGGGTTTGATTTCATTAATGGAAATGAATAACATGAGACTCAAGGTAGAAATAAATTAACCCCACAAACCCATGGATGGCCAATATGTCTGTTTTGAATGGGGTCATTCTATGTACAGAGGATCATAGTAAGATGAGAAATACCCAAAATCCAGCATTATTGCTGGATGCCAGAAGGAAGTCATGGCTAGAAGTGTTACTCCATTAAATTTTAGTTATCCCCACTTTATAGAGGAATCTGATGAGACTGCCTCTCTGGTGATGGTTATGAAAGGTCTAAAATAATAAAAGTGGCAGTTGTGACTTACTTTCTTATACCTTCCCCTTTCCGGCATGCCTACTTTTACCATAGTTTGGAATTTTCATTGGTTCATAACCCAGTAGTCTATTTTGTTTTTCTTCTGTGCCATCATGCCAGTTTTAGGAGATTGCCTGGACCAGTTCTTACAATTTTCTTGGCAAGATTTTTAGAAGTGCTTGCAATTGCCTCCTTTCTAGGGCTGAGAGAAAGCCACTGGCCCAAGGCCAATCAACTGGCTTTGTGCCTAAGGCAGGACTAGAATTCATGGTGTTCTGGTTTCTAGGCTGATGCTTTGGCCACTACATCAAACTAGTTGTCAGCCTAATTTTAATGAAGTATAAAGTATAATTTCAAGTTTATTATGGGCTCAAATTCAGGCTACCCAAATGGTCTCATTTTAGATCATTATTTGTTCTTTTCTCTGTCTTTGATGAACATTATGCTGTTTTAATTAGTAAATCCATTTATATTAACATTTACCAAAAAAACAGAAGTTGCTTGGGAGATTGCCTTGAAGAAAGAATGCAAAAACTGTTGAGGTCAATTTAGCTGTAGGAAGGATGAGGGGCGAGAAAAACAACAACACGAGATAACTCTGCCTTGATTGTGTATGCATAAGAGGGAATAGAAGAAAACTCTAATAGGCTTTGAAGATTTTGTAATTATAACTTATAGCAATAGCAGACCTTATATCGTTTGTTCCTTGACCTGCCCCACCTTGACGGGTTGACAATATTTGGTATAATATCATGTGTTTGATATCATTGTGCTACATGTAATGTCACTTGCACTCCTCTCCAGCACATTCCTACTTCTAGAAGTTGGAATATCCAGCTCATGTGGTAGATGTGCATGGAGAGCAGCAAAAATGACCCCATATAGGACTTATACCCAAAACATGTTTAAGTCATCAGCCACTAATCAGGTTGAATTACCTTACTAGTGATTCTGACAGCACACGATCACATTAACTTAGCTGTGAGCTTGGAAGCTTGTATTCTGGATCCATCCCCCTCTTGGCTGGTTAAGGCTTCCAAGAAAGTGGCATGGTTGGGTGCGTGAGGGGGCTAATATCTATTTTAGGGAAGGGGTGGTTCTGTCA